AAGTCATGACTCATAAAGACATCAACACATGTCAAAGATTTATTAATTCATGAATTAATGAAAGAACTAGGAGAGTTACATTTGGTTCAAAGGAGATGTCAAAGAACCTTAAACTTATATCCTGTCAAGAATTTTTTTGTAATTTACCACTATTGGCATACACATGGGGTAATAATCACTTGCATTCAAACATGTATAAATAATGCAACTTTCTGCGGACAAGAGTTATTTGTATTTACTTGGATTTTCTTGAAGTTTTCTTTGTCTTTACAGAGTTTTATTTTTTAGTGTTATTTTCATTTTTATTAAAGCACTGTGATTTCCAAAATTATTCATAGTTGAGTTTTGGACACACAATATTGTAGCACCAATCCCACCACCAGTGTCAACTTTTCTCCACCCATGTTCCCAGGGTTCCTCCTATATCTCACCCTGCTTCCAGTATGACCTCTTAAAAGGCACCTTTCTAATTTTGGTTGCTAAAATGTGGGTCTCTTGATTTCAGTGTTATTGACACTGTGGTTTAGGTATTTGGCTCTGCCATTTCATAACACCACCTTTGTACCTGACTCCGCTGTCCTGGTCCCTGTTCCTTCTTATCGTTCTCTTCTCCCTCTCCCCTCCACTCTTTGTTTCCTTCTCCTCCCTATACTCTGGGGCTAAGATTAGTCAGGGCATGCTCCCCTTTAATACGTTACATTTCCTCTTCCAATTATTCTAAATACCACCTATGAGTGACATTGTCTTGTGTTAAGAACATATTGGAAAAAAAGAGTTGTGCGTATATGATCGGATAATCCCCAGAGACTCAACTCCAAAAACTGTATTCAATAATCTCTATAGCTCATTACAAAATCTTAAATATTTCCTTAAAGTACTATAATGTACATAAGGAACAGCTTTCCAGCAGACTATACTTTAGTCTTTCAATTCTCCATTAAATATCTATGGGTTTTTATTTGCTTAGAACAGTTTAATAGCTGTTGTAAACAGACCACCATATATGTGACTTTTATATGGCTGTATGTCTCTCTGTCCAGAATCTATTTTAATGTAGTTTTCATATGCTCTTGACCTAAGAGTTTTGATATAATGATTGAGAATATTGGAAATTATTGTAATGACAAAATATTTACAGAATATGGTTTATCTGAATCTTGATTAAGAAATACACATTTTTACTTGCATAGCTTAAAGCAATAATCATCTGGATTTAAACATTTTAAATAATTTAGTTTCATAATACTTTCTTTAAATATTAATTTTCAGAGTTTTTAAGTATAACTGACAAATAACTCTTTACATATATACTATAAAACAGTGCTACCATGCCCCAAAGTTAAGTTACATATCCATTGCCTCATTTAGCTATCGTTCTGTTTTGTGTGGTCAGATCATTCAACTCTGTTTACAGATTTCTAGTGTGCAATATTGTATTGGTAATTTTAGTCATGGTGCTGTCAAAAAAATCTAAAAAAAGAGAGAACTCCAGAAATCATTATCTTTTTCACAATTGAAACTTTGTGCCCTTTGGCTAGCTCCCCCCTTCCTATCTACCAACCCACCCCAGACTATTTCTGGAAACAACTAGTCCAAATATTTAACCTGACAGCTCTAATGGTCAGAGGCTCAAATACACTGGGTTGGCTCACATGAAATCAAAGCGTTGGTTTGCTTGTGCTTCTCATGGAGGACCTGGGGGAGAATCTTTTTCCTTCTTTCTGTGAGGAAGGACAGTTCTTAAGGTCACAAACATTGCTTGACACATAATATCTTTCTCTTCATCTGGAAGGCATATTGTTCCAATCTCTGGCTGTGCTGCACTCAAATGTTTTCTCTCTCCACATATGATTATTCTACTGCCTTTTATGAGGATGCTTGTAATTACACTGGGCTCACTTGAATAATAACATCCTATCTTAACATTGTTAACTACAAATGCAAAGTTCCGTCATCAAGATCAAGTAACTCAACACGCTCACTGGCCCTAGGCATTTTGGATGCACACATAAGTGCGAGCAGGCACAGCAGACTAAAATCCTCACTCATTCTTTGTCCTGGACCCAGAATTCCCTTTCCCTTAAAACATCTCTCCTTTATGATCTCCTGAAATGTTTCTCTTCCTCGGAAAGCCCTTCCATGTGACTTCACCAGGCCCAACCCGGAGCAGAATTAATAGATTCCTTCCTCTACTCCCTCAGCACATTATACTCACCATATGGCAATAGGGCCTGTCTAATTAAGTAGGTAAGCATTTGTCTCCTTTATTGGTCTGTGAGCCTTCTTTATTATAGAGCATTGCATATCTTTGTATCCCCACTACACCACAGCACAACATTTTGTAACTAGTGTATGCTTAATAAATGTATATCAAATCACGAGTTTGATTGCTAAACACCAACTTAGTACAGTACTTGTGACATTCAGTCTTCTATTTATTACTCTTTGGACACAGGAAGATGAGTAAAGCTCATGTTCACCTTGAAGGGGCAAGTCTAGTTGAACAGAAAGACGTATAGCTAAAGAGCTAAGCTAATAGTGTGAGATAGAATGTAGAGAACACTGCTAATGTACTGAAAGTTTTATAGGTGAGAGAATGTGAGTTGAGTCTATAATAGTGATAATAATGATGATGATGACAACAATCAGCTGCAATAAAAGCAATAACTATAGCAGCTTTTGCTTATTGAGTTTATGTGCAATTGCTTTCGAGGCACTATCCCGTATGTATTATAATAATGACTACTGGAAGAGAAAGAGTATAGTCATAGAGGATAGATATTTGCTCCAAATCACCCTGTTGGTAGGCAGTAAAACTAGGGTAAGAATCCAGGAAAATTAATATATTTATAACCACTATAATATGTTTATCTTTCATAAGACTTAGTAGTGGTTTCTGGTGAATGATAAAGTTAACAGGAGTCAGGTCTAATATTTTCAGGTCTACCAACCCAAAAATTGAAATTAGGTCACTAAGAGTTTGAGTCTATGTGTGACAATTGGAGAATAAGTGAGAATCCCAATAAAGTAATATCGTTTCCACTGTAATTTCTGAATAAGAATTTTAGCTGTTCAATTAGCACCCTTAAGCCTGTATGTTTATGATTAGAACTATTTAATCATTCAATATGTTACATTAAATGACCTCATCAGGGTTTTAAAGTTTATTGTAGATTCACTAATGTGTTAAATCTGTAAAACGTTAGTAGTGGTTCTTTTTTTTCTGTTTTCTTATTTCTTGAAACACTGATACTCACTGTTTCAAGAAACCAAGGGCTCTTGATGCTACCAAATTGATGGTTTCCCAACCAATTTAATTTCAAGATATATAATAGCAAGCTAGCCTTATATATGCCTTGTAGAAATGGAATGAGTAAAGAAATTGTATTTTGAACAAGAGCAAAGTAATCAGATTGTTAAGCTTGAAGGTCTGGTGATGTATAGTTAGAACCTGGAGTGTCTTGGGCAGCGCTGATTAAACTCACACTGAGAGAGGTACTGATTCTCTAACCTGAAGGCTACAGATAGCAACTTGAAGACTTCCTGCAGCTCCAGTTAGTGATGTGGCTGGGAAATGGGATTCAGGCTTCAGAATGCATGACTCAGGCTTGCACTTCAATGTGGCACTTCATCAGCTGTGTCTGACGACTTGGCTTCTTGGAGTAGGTTTTATGTACGTCTTGGTATAAACTCAGGGTCTGCGCTTAGAAAACCAAAACAGGCCTTCATCGATTAAAGGATCTTCATCGTTTAAAATAGTGTTTTCTCAATCATTCTTTTAAAAAGTCACTGACTTTCTGACTTACATGATGATTGTGACACACGTTTCTGCCAGTGAATGAATTTTGATTTTGTTTTGTGAATCAAATGCATTTTAACAGACTATTAAAGTCGGGGAATTAATTAAGCACTTAGAAATATTCTGAGGTATCTAAAGCTTAAGAGAGCAAAAAATGTGACTGTCAGATCACCATTTCAGTTTCCTCATCTTTAATAAAGCCTTTGTGACTGAAAGCTGAATATGATAAGTCCTCAACAGTCTTGCAAAGAAACTTGTGCTGTCATGAATTGACAATATATTTGAACTATGTTCTACTAGCTACTTTTTTGAAATTCAGTCTTTGAGCTCTACCGTCTCAGGCTTTCACAAAAATAAAAAAAGAGGGATGATTTTATGAGGGATACATTGTTCATTGCAGTTAATTTCCAATGAATTGTTTTGCCCCTTTGAAATACAAACACTAGTATTCCTGCTAGTGTACTTTTGAGAGGTTTATAAGAAATGAAATGATACAGCTTTTCACTGGATTTCTCAACAGTGTACTTTCTTTCCATAAAGACAAAAGGCTTACAGTCTCTTGAAGTATCTTCTGTAGTTGTTTGAAAGGGAATTGTAAAATTATAATTAAGTCTTTTCAGGTAAAGAATGTATGATTTCTTCTTGATTAGAATAATGACATTGAGTAAAACCATATTCTATTGCATTTTGGCACAATAACAATGTCAGTGTTATATTTATAGTAAAGGCAACTTATTAGTAAACCAGCCTCATCTGAAAGATTGTTTCTGAATATTTAAATATTATAGGGCTCTCCAAATGAAGGGATTTTTGTACTTTTTTGTACCCGTTTTAATTTAAATCTTTTAATGTTATTACTGAGATAACATGGTTTACGATGCTGTTAATATTGATGTCTTTGGCATGCAAAGTTATTACTATTTTACTGCCAATGCGCCCCTCCACCACAAACTCTAGGTCCCAATTTTAACCCTTAATCAGTATAGTTTACATAATATAAGAGAACCTATAGAGACATAATTTTGACATTACTGGTTTTCATTACATTTAGGACTCATGATTATAGAAAAATATAATACAAATTATTTCCTTCCTTAGAATAATATCACCCAAATTGTATGTGTTCAAAGGTCATAGAAAAAGTATTTTAATATTACTATGTATTTTTAAAATGTGTTTTTCTGTTTTATCTTTGCTTTAGGGACCAGACTTTAAGAACTAGAAGATGAAAGCTCCGATTCCACACTTGATTCTCTTATATGCTACTTTCACTCAGAGTTTGAAGGTCGTGACCAAAAGAGGCTCTGGTAGGCAATATTTCTTCCTTTTCTTTTATTTTATGACTCTAAGTGATGGTTTGGCATGAACACACATGATACTTGTGGAAAGCTTGGAAATGAATGTGAATATCTATTGAGAACATACTCATAGAGAATTAGAAAGGTGGGAATAGACTGGGGGAAAAAGTGTCTTAAATTTGATCATTACTCTGAATTACAATGGATTCAATCTCAAAAACTTGCAGTTTGATTTTTTTTTGGCTTTTTGGGTCATATTTGGCAATGCTCAAGGGTTACTCCTGGCTCTACACTCAGGAATAACTACTGATTGTGCCTGAGGGACCATATGGGATGCCAGCAATTGAACCCTCATTGGTCACCCTACCCGCTATACTATCGCTGTCCCCTTGAATCTGTTTTGTAATATATTTTCAATAGCATTTTATAGAGAGTGTCATTTCAATTTTTGCATGGAAGTGTTATGAAATGTTTTGTGGTAACTTTTGCTATTGCCATTTCAATGTTTGCCATGCTTGGTGGTTCTCTTTTGGGCTATACTTCTGCTAGTTTCTTGAATTACTTTCTTGAAATAGTATTTGAAAAAGGCACTGAAGTTCTTTCAGAAAATATATTTAATTTCAAAAGAAATCAGCCTTAATTCTTCAATAGGAAATATAGAGCCAAAGCAGAGAAAATAAGCTACCAAATAGAAAAATAGTAAAACTACATGTTGTAAAAATATGCTGTCTTTCACTGCATGATGATAGTGTGAACCAAATGTCTGAGGGAATTGGATAAGTTGTGCTGTTGTGTAGTTGGACCTGTGTTTTAAGTCACTGATTATTCAAAGTCTTGTCATACTCACATTTTATGAATTTGGGACATTATAACTCTTAGGTATAATGGAAGAATAAGTGGTTTATGTTTAGTTGCTAGAACTATAATGTGTTATTTATTAGTTTTAGAAGGACAGTGGGAAAATAAATGATAATATATAGGGTGATATGATATCAAAAGTAGCATGAAGAAAAGTATTTGGGAATTGAGAAAGGAAGAGAAAAGCAAAGATTAGATTGGGATTTGGCAGCTATTCTCAATCCCTGTAGCTAAAATACTTCAAAATCACTTTGATTATATAATCGAGAGGCTACATACAAGGGAAACAGAGAGCAAGCCTGCTCTCATAAGCCCCATTTGGGGGACAGTCCGTGAAGTGACCAAATATTACTTTGTATGTGAACAAGGGGATGATGAAGGATTGCAAATAAATGGAAATTTATTGAACCCACTGACTCTAGAAATTTTGGGGGTTTGTATAGTTATTGTAGTTGCCATTGACATGTTTGTAAGCATTGTGGAAAAATAGTGTTTCGAGATTTACACAATATCATTATTTTATTATTATTTTATCTATACTTACTGGATCTTTGAAGAGAGAAATCCTTGGGTAGGATTAGGATGTAGTGGTATTTTGAGTGGATTAATGGCAAATAATAGATAATTTGATATCTTTGTCTACCACTTGCAAAAATATTTGAGTCTACTTTTGGGAGTTAGAGTAAGTAGTCAGGAGGTAGGCAGCTGATAATTTCTACAGGAAAATAGTTTTTAGAGTACAATTTACATTTAAAGCACTTAGGATGGATCTCTGAGGTACTGGTCATGTATTAGGGAAACACTTATCTGTGTAAGTATTACAACAAAATAAAACTATCCAAAATAGATATAATAGATATTAAATTAATCTTAAACTTTATTTTTCTGGTCATCATACTTGGTTGAATAAAATCTATTTTCCCCTCTTCCTTCTATTTATGCCCTATGATTTATTCATTGATATGCAAATGTGACTTTCCCCCATCATAAAATAGTGGTGACAGATTCCTACTGCATAGACTCTAATATGGGGGAAATTAAGTGTATTAAATCATGACTTTAGATATTTGCGAAGCATAGGTACAGAGATAGAAATGTGGCACCGTGGGAAAATTTATATCTTTATCTAGAGACCGGAAGAAAACCAGTGACCTGTCTCAAATTCAGTTTTTATTGTAATGATATAATTATTTTAGGAGCGAGGTAATAAAATGTTCTGGCAGTTCAGAGACCTTGCTCCCTTTTCTTTATAATATATTTGTCACATGGCTACTTAGTACTTCCCAAACAAATTCTATCATCTCTATCCTGGTGTCATAGTGTGAAGGTCCTGAGATTTAGCAGCAGGCTTGATTTGCTTTCTTGCATAATGGGAAAGAAGATAGCTTCCCCTCATCTCTCTGTTAAGACCTGACGGACGTAGGTTTGATTTGGGGGTGTGAAGTGCACGATTTAGGAATCAGTAATATTACTCTCCCCATATATTTTCATAGCTTGTACTTGTTTCAGCTGATGGCTGTTACCATGGCACCTTTGTTGAGAGAGGCAGATATGTAACTTACTAAAAAGAGTCATTACTGATCGCTACCGATTGAGTAGAAGAGGAGGCACTTGGCATCCTCTCCTTAAAAGATTAATGGCTCAATCTTCAGGCCCAGCCCAACATATAAAAATCAGAGGTACCAAGGCCAGAAAATGGCAGTAAAACTTGATTTTTTGGTGTTTGATCATGCCTGTTAACCTAGAAGGATACTTTACTCTTTATTCTTATCACAGAATTCTTTTATAATCCCAATTGTATAAGGTCAATAAATCTGATTAAAATCAAGTGATTTTCTTGTCTCTCTTACTAGAGTGTGATTTCTTAATTCATTATCACTACTAGGACACTAGAACTAAATATTAATAAGCAACAATTATTAAATAATATTTAATGCATATAATGACATTGAATTTCTATGGCACTTTAACTGAATATAATGTTTCCTCTAGATAAATACACATGATAATTACGCAGATCCAAATTATGTATTTGTTTCTCATTAGCCAAGTTAATTTGAAAACAATAGAAGCTCGTCTTATACAAACTGGAAATGTATTGTTTTTTTAATCACATTGACATATCTCTATCACTGTCAATTTAAGGAACAAATTGTAAGCCTATTATGCTGTAACATCCTTGATTAAAATAATAAAATTCAAAATTATAAATGTTTTCTTAAATATTATTTAGGTAATAATACATAAATCTGGTGTGTCAGATCATATTCTAAATTTGTGCATACATTTTGAGTCAAGGCCTCTAGTATATATATGGAAGCATATATTTAGCTTTTGTTATTGTCAGATTACATTGTTTTGTCAGATTTTCTCCTCGAGCTATTTAATACCTTATTTTAAAGTTTTGTATATGTGGTAATTGAATAAAAAGGCAAGGAATATCAATATTACTCATTTTCTGTAAGTGAAGTGTTTTAGCAATTCAGTAAGTAAACATTTGAGGTACTGTCATTTGCAAAATTCTATACAAAAGCAACTTGTAAAGCAAATACTTGTTTGAAGAGTTTTTTTTAAAATCTTAATCAGTTTAGAAATGTTAGATTAAGGTTCTTGTGGATTTGTTTCTCTTAGTCTTCCCTTCCCTCTCCTCCCCTCCTCCTGCTCTTCCTTTCTCTCCCTTCCTCTCCTGTTTTCTCCCCTCTTTTTCTTTCCTTCCCTTCCTTTTCCCTCTCCCCTTACCCTTCCTCTTTTCCTCCCATCCCTGCCCCTCCCTCCTCATTAGTTATCAGCTCATCTTTACAAACTTATTCCAAGAGGATAATATGATTTCTGTGAATAATAACTTATTAAATATTTTTTTTAATTTTTGTCTAACTAGGATACTTGGAGGTTGGATTCAGTGCAGAGTAATTATGTAAATTTGATTTAGTATCTTATACAATGTACAGTTCAACACTAATTATAACACTTAGGGGAAACTAAAATATAAGTTTTTATTTTGCCCTAAGTTTGAAGTATGGAAATGAATGAAGATAGAGGGATTTGGATGTAGAAATCAGGGAATAAAGGAGTATCTAAACCTTCAGTCTCTTTTCCTTTGTCCTTATATTCACCCCTAGGCATTGCGTGCAAAAAATAGTTTATGTCTGTTCATAAACTATATTGCCAAATACCATGTAAAACACTGGAAGCAGTGTTTTAATGAAGTAACAATTGCATGAATGAGTGAAATATTAGCTTTGATATTCAGACTGGATTGTGTCTGTGAGGATGCAAGAGGACTCTGACAGTTTAGAAAAATGAAAGTAAAATAGATATAAGAAAACTTTTTTCTCAAATGGAAATTTTGTAATATTAGTATTCTGAAGCAAAAGATATAAATTCAGAATAAGCACCAACTAATATGTACCGAGTATTTATATGAAGGTAGTGAATGAGGCTTTGTAAATCTCAAGTGCTTTCAAAAGTTGAAATGCAGTTCAAAACATGTTGATGCTGCCAGCGAGATAGTCCAGGAGTTAAGGTGTTTGCCTTCAGGAAGCCTTTTGTTGCTCAATCCCAAGGCAGAATATGGTCTCCCACACCACCAGGAGGGAGCCCAGTGTTCAGAGCCAGGAGTGAGCCCCAAGCAGAGTTGAGTGTGGCCACTAAATCAAAACCAAACAAATAAAAATTTATTTATTTATTTATCTGCTTTTTGTGTCACACCCAACGATGCTCAGGGGTTACTCCTGGCTCATGCACTCAGGAATTACTCCTGGCGGTGCTCGGGGTACCATATGGGATGCTGGGAATCAAACTTGGGTTGGCCGTGTGCAAGGCCCTACCTGCTGTGCTATCACTCCAGCCCCCTAACCAAAACTTCTTAATGAGGAAAATGTTTTTTTAATTACTATTTTGAAAATTTATTATATTCCATGTCGCTTTAAAGAAGTACTGTCATTAGACAGACTTTTTTTGTTTTAATGGTGTTGTTCATTATGGATCACCTTGGAAAGGTGGAACTCATGGTTATGCTTAAGAAGTGAATTTAGTATCAGTGAAAAACTTTTCACATGTATTAGGTGATAAGGAGTAAAGGACATCTCTATCAACATGAAGTGAAGATCATATCTCATTCTGGGTGATTACAGTATATAAAAACGACCTTA